TTGTTATGTATCGTTTCGTAATATATCGTATTGTATTATATCATTTTGACATCTACAATATTTGGATAATTGTATTGTTTGTCGCCGTTTCATGATGTCATGTACCACAACATGAAAAATAAACTTGCATTATTACAAAGAAAAAGTAAGGCATGATGTAGAATTATTATATAAGGTAGGATAAATGATAAAATAGAATTTATATTTTTTAATAATAAGAATGGACATGGCAGGACGAGAGGAAAAAATAAGGTAACAACTTGGCCACACCATTGAATTTTACATAAAGTGGTATTTTTCGCCGTTACATAACGACGGATTTAACAATACGATACAACAAAATTTAAGTAACAATCAAAACTAATATCGTATTTAAAGTAACAATACGATGCAATACAATAGGTAATCATTATCCAAACAAGCAGTAAAGTAGGGGGAAGTGCACAGTTAGCCAGTAATAAGACATGTATTTACTTTTAAGCCACTGTTTAAAATGTCTTTAGTCTTTAGCCACTGCTTTAATAAACTTTTACCCGTCCGGACGAAAATACCCTTCTGCTCATAAAGTTCAGGACCAAGTGTCCTTAACTTATGAGCTTATTACTGTAAGTTCAGGACTAGCTGTCCTTAATTTATGAGCTTGTAAGTCTAAATTTAACACTACCTGTCCTTAACTTTTGAGCTTGTAACTCTAAGTTCAGAACTACATGTCCTTAACTTTTGAACTTGGAACTCGAAGTTCATCAGGACTACTTGTCCTTAATTTCTGTGCTTGTAACTCTAAGTTAAGGACCAAATGTCCTTAATTTTTGAACTTCCAACTCTAAGTTCATGACCAAGTGTCCTTAACTTATGAGCTTGTTACTGTAAGTTCAGGACTAGCTGTCCTTAATTTATGAGCTTGTAAGTCTAAGTTAAAGACTACCTGTCCTTAGTTTTTGAGCTTGTAACTCTAAGTTTAGGACTACCTGTCCTTAACTTTTGAACTTGTAACTCTAAGTTCAGGACTACATGTCCTTATTTTTTAAACTTGGAACTCTAAGTTCAGGACTACCTGTACTTAATTTCTGTGCTTGTAACTCTAAGTTAAGGACTACATGTCCTTAATTTTCCTGTTTTTCGCTTTCCCTGTCTTTTTCTTTGTTAATATCTTATGTTCTTGGTTTATATCTTATTTAATTTTTGTTTAAAATTAATTCTAAGGGTAAAACCGTACAAATTCTCAAACCAAAAGCTAAAGGATTTGGGTTTGGAGTTTACACCAGTGAAATCGTGCTTATATGAAACGGTGAAGAGTCTACAAGAGAAAGGTCACCTTCCAATTCCTACTCAAAAGGATGAGATTATTCGAATTCAGTCTTAGCAATTCAGATTATTTGAATTAAACCAGTTGGTACCAGTTGATATATTTGGAGTATGTGATCGAGCAGGGTTTTGAAATTTTGATAGAGGGTTTGGGAAGGAAAAGAGATAGAAGAAAGGGTAACACCGTCTTTTCATATTAATTTTAATAGACTAGTGGCTACTTTTGCTCAGCATTAAAAATGCTGGATAAAAAATAAATACCACTTTAAAAAGTGGCTACCCCACGCAATTTTTACCAGTAAAGTAATATAAAAATAGCACGGGCTAGCCAGTTTTCGGACTGGTCATTCAAAAATAGCCAGCATTTGCAAAGATATTGAAAAATAGCCACTATTTTGCTGCAACACGGAATGTTCCAGCATAATATACTGGAGATCGGTGCACCTGTGTATGAACTTCCAGCATATTATGCTGGAACTCCAATACGCTGAAAGTTGCAGTATAATATATTGGAGATTGGAGCACCGGTGCTCCAATCTCCAGTATATTATGTTGGACCGGTATATTATACTGCATTATACTTATGCTGGAACTCCAGTATATTATACTGGAGTATTTTTCCGGATTTTGAATAGGGCTTTTGTTCAAATTTATCTTTACCTGAAAAGTGGCTAAATTTCGATTACTTTTGAAACTGTGGCTATTTTTGAATGACCACTTGTAAATCTGGCTATTTTTGAAATTCTCCCTAAAGTAACTAAACTATTCATGTGTAAATTGCTCAGCAAATATTAATGTTCGAAAAGTCAAATTTTTCTCATCGAGTAAGCATTTTTTTTCTCCCTTATTATTTTTTTTCATTTAAATATTTTTAACTGTCTTTTATTTTATGAAATACAGGTAGAAAATTCTACATGGTAATTTTCTCTCCTTTGTATTTTCTGAGAAAATGCACTTAGTTTAGTTATTTTACTATTAATGAGCTAAAGTTCATTTATTTCAATGAGATAAAAAATAGTTTTGTAATTTTATTATAATAGTGAGTAAAAGTTCATTTATTTTAATAAACTATTTATGTTTTTACTTCTTTATATTTTGAATTCCCTTAATAATAATCCTGGCTCCGTCAATATTTGAGTACACATAATATGCAGGTGCAATTTCATCGATCTACAACTAGTTAACTTGACTAAAATATGAACCTCGACGATTAAGTCACATTATTGTTTTACTACAATTTGAGAATGTTATTATATGCTATTAGTTGAGAAGATTTCTTTCTACTTAAAACCTAATGCGAGGATACTAAAGGGCAGGACAGACCGGTGCACGAAGCATCTCGTATTCATACAAGGTCCGGGAAAGAGTCGCACGGCCAAGGGGTATGATGTAGGCAACCTACCTATCTTAATGTAGGTATCAGTGGCTGATTCTACAGCTAGAACCCATGACTTATAGGTCACACAAAGACAACTTTATCGTGGAGATTCAATGTGAGGATAGTCATAATAGATGAAATATGAACCATTCAATATTCAATAGATAGTAAATCATAGGGTTCTCATTTTTGGACCACCAAAATTTTCTTGAGCATATGACAATAAGCACATTAAATAGATTTTGTCTTGTATTATGTCCCCATATGGTAAGAGTTTATGGAGGTTTTTGTTGGTGCAGTAAAATACAATGGCTAAGATTTCCTCTTTGTAAATACTTGGCTCCAATTGTTTTCCACTTTCACAAATGATCCATATGGTAAAATCAAAAGGCTGTAGCTCCTCCAAATACTATAAAATGTCAGATCAAAGTACATCCACAGGATTTGGATTTACCTAAAGAATATAAGAATCTTTATCATGGTCCTTTATGTACCTGCAATGTCACATGACTACACAATCATGGAGAAATAAAGAGATGTGGAAGGTAATCCATGTTGTGGCTCCCAACATATGCATCGCCAGAATTTGAAGTTTATGGTTCGGGATTCTAATCCTTTTAAGTTTTTGGGGTTCTAAATCAATAACTTGTACATATTAGATGAATTTGTTAAGATAAATACAGAGGTTGAACCAAAAAGTTTCGATCGAACTTGTACGCTAAACTCTAGCTCCGCTAGTTCTGAAATGCATATATAACTCAACTTTATATATACTTATTTTTCGCAACGTACATATAAAATTCAGTCAGAAGCCCTGGATTCTGCCGAACCTGCAAACTCATGGTGAAAAGAAAGAATAGGAGATGAAAAAGATCATTTTAATAAAGTTACACATTGTTAACATTCATCCAAAGAGAATCAAAGTAAGAGTTAATAAACATCCAGTTACATCTGAATGTAGCACCCCTTCTGTACTGGCTTTTGCAGATTAGTAATTTCTGATACAGAAAGTATCAGAACCACTACCCCAGTTGCCATTTGCAGTGTTTATTTCCTAGATAAGGTATGCTACTTTCTTCAAATTTACCCTAGTTTTGGTTTTGATTTCGGGAATCAAATTGTATCTCGTCTTGAATTTTTCCTTCCACCATTGTCAAAGTACCCAAAATTGTTTGACCAGAACCGGTACGGATCCCATACTCACACCCATACTAGTGTCGTGTCGACACGGGTGCGGCACCTAAACGGCCATGTCGGAGCAACTTAGATATGTATTGCACCGGAGAAACAAGACAGCAGGTGGAGTCAAACTTGATAATCCTTTACCCTGTCTAGTACAAAATCTCTTTTCTTCTTTCCCTTTCTTTTACCAGATACAAATGAAATACTGTTGCAATTTAATCTTGGATGGTTAAAAGGAGGAGAAACCAAATCTATTTGTATTATTTGTCACAGGTCACAAGGCTATTAAATAAGAGAAGTGATAACAAAGCATAAGGTCAATTAGGGGTGTTCGTCGGTCGCTGCGGTACGGTATTTAGATATTTTGGTTCGGTATTTTCGGTATTCGGTTTCTTAAAATCCTATACCAATATCGTACCTAATTAAATTCGGTATGGTTCGGTTTTCTCCTTTCGTTTTCGGTTTATTGGTTCGGTAACTTCGGTTTATTCGGTTAGAATACTAACTAGTGCATAGAGTCATAGACTCTAATATTCTTAATTAAAGTACTCAAAAATACAAAACTGAAAATGTTTGTTGCAAAAAATTTGTCCAAAACTAGCAAATATCGACCCAAATAGAGAAATTGTACATAAAAGAATATTTGATCATTAGAAATGTCTTGTTACTTAGAGAATAAAGGAAAGTAAAATCTTAGACTTTTTATATTTATGTTATAATTGATAATATGTGTTTTGTGTAATATAATATATATTTCGGTACAGTATCGGTATTTCGATATTTTATTTTAAAATACCAAATACCATATCTAATACCAATTTTTTTCAAAAACTTAAACCAAATACCATACCAAATGCCAAAATACCGTATACCAAATACCAAATTTTCGGCTTCGGTACGATAATTCGGTATTTACCAAATTATGCACAGCCCTAAGGTCAATGGTTACTTGTTTCTAAGTCTCTTGTTCTAATGAAAAACTTTTCAAGTTGGGTAGATTCTTGTAAACAACAAAAGCAGCAGAATTAACCAAAAAAAAAAAAAAAAAAAAAAAAGATCACCTTTAAATTATCAGTATAATGAAGATTGAAATATAACATTTTCATACATGCATGGGTAGAAATAAACACAGAGCTTCTAGAAGATACTGTTAAATTGCCAAATATATGTCATAAAAAGTAGTATGCTTTAATTTTCTTTCTATAATCTTGCACACACTCAGTTACTTTTTTCATCAAGTACAGTAAATAACTAGGCAAATCTATATGGAAGACAAGAGTTTTGCTTCAACAAACTGAAAAAGCATTCTGCAACTGGGGTTGAAGTAAATAAAAGCAACAACTCCTAGGAATGCCACAATGCATGATGGAACAAAAGTTTCCAAAAATGAATCTTTGAACAGATCATTTTCTCCTGGATTTGGATCTGATATTGCATTGCTCCTTCTGCAGTTTTCCTCGAGAAGTAATCCACAAAGGAAAGGATTGCCTTCGTAGCTGCTCGCTTCAAAGGTTGCAAACTGAGCCTTCCTATCCGGTGTACGTCCTGATAAATTGTTGTTTGCCACTGAGAAGACTGATAGAAAGTTTAACTGAACCAAATCCGAAGGAATTTCACCACTCAGCTTATTGTCGGATAAGTCCAAGCTTTGTATTTGCTTCAAGTTGGAAAATGTCCTTGGAATGGATCCATTCATTTGATTATGTGATAAATTTAGAGTATGAATATCACTTAGGAATCCAAGTTCAGGAGGAATTGGACCTGCAAACTTATTCATAGAAAGATCGATCCCTGACATGAAATACAAGATGTTTCCTGTGTATGATTCAGACCTACTCTTTGAAATAAATTCGATTTCTTCTGCCACATCTGATGAGTAAAATCCAGCTTCAACATATTGGTGGTTTACGCCAAGTATGCTTTGATATTCGTATGACCTGAAGGATCGATAAGCTGTCCACCCATATTCATCACTCATCAGTCTTAAAGGTTTGATCATTTGCTTTCTTCTGACCAAAAGGTATATCATTCAAACATGAAGGTATCGGACCAGAAAGTCTATGAAGAAAGATCTTGTATCCAAATACAAGAACCGGACTGATGTGAGGTTCCATTTTCTGAGAAATAATTGGCCCTGCAGATTATTATGTGAAAGCTTCAGTGTAGTCAATTCCTTGCAGCCCATAACAAAATGTTCAGGTAATTCTCCAGTGAAATTGTTGCTCGACAGATCCAATGAATACAACTTACTCATGTTGCCGATTGAAGGAGGAATACTACCATGAAATGAGTTTCTAGACATGTTCAAATACTGCAAATTTGGGAGAATATGGCCAATAGATGCTGGAAGTGGGCCTTGAATATCATTCTTCCACATATCAAGCCAAAACAAATCAAGATTTTTAAAATCAGCAGGTAACACAAATTGACCCGTGAATGAGTTTTCTGCAAGACTAAGGAACTCCAATCTTGTGTTGTTATTCAGTAACCAAGTGGGAACTTCTCCAACCATAGCATTGTAACTGAGGTTAACAACTCTTAATTCACGCTGCGTCAAAAGAAAGCTCGGAATAGATCTAGTCGGCTCATTGATTTTGCAGTTCGATAATCTTAGGACTTTTAGCTGAAATAGAGGTTTCCAGGGTGTATTTTCTGTGTCTACATGCAACTCATTGTTAAGGCTATCAAGTTCGAGAACCTCAAGATTGGAGTTGTTAGCAAATGAGCTCAAGGAGATGGACCCTTCAAAATGGTTCAAAGAAAGAGAAAGGTATTCGAGGGACTTGAGCCTAAGGAGATCAGAAGGAATGGTTCCTCCAAGGTTATTTTCAGAAAGTTCGAGGAGACGGAGGGATGTTAAATTGCTGATACATGGAGGAATAGATCCCTTGAGGCTGTTTCGGCTAATATCCAACTCTTGAAGGCTTCGCAATTTACATAAACCTGAAAGGTGAAAATTTGCATGGTCATTGACCACAAAGATGAGAGCAAAGAAATCTTTCTTCATAAAAATAAAGGCAGGTAGGGGGCATGACAAGTGATAGCTTCACCTCTATATTATTGGGAAAACTTGAACATGAAGAACAAAGATAACTCCTATAGTTTGCCAATCTCACCCAATTTAAGATTCAAACAAATAAATTTTTGAAGTCCTAACTGCATGACTATCCGCCAATATCTCCTGCAAATCCATTTTAATAGCCCAGCCCCGGGAGAAAATTGACAAACAAGTCGCCTCTAACCGCACACTGTTAGAGCACTGATACAATTTTTTTTTAAGAAAAAACATATGAATAACTAATGCAACTTATGATGCATGTTCATTGGTTAAAGATCCGGCCATTGTAAATAATCTTCAGAGCTCATATATTGGAATAACAATGTAAACTAAATTGAGTATCTAGAGCAAAGAGAGCAGACCTTCCTCTGGAAAAGAGCCATTTACTTTATGTTTCTTAACGATAAGCTCTTTAAAGAAGTCAAGGCCCCAATAGATAGAGGCATCTCACCAGAAATATCATTATAACCCAAGTCAAGCATCTCCAGGCCCCTCGATGTCGTCAACTCTGTGAACAAACAAGTCAATTAGGGAACTAATGGTACAACTGCACAAGGTTTTTTTAAAATTTTTCCTAGGGAGAAGGGTACAAGGTACTGCTTCATTACCTTGTAATGTCGACAAATTTTTCAAATAATTGAACCTAAAGCTCAAATTTTTAAAGATTCTAGGCCACTGAGGGATAGAATTTCTGTAAGCTGATTAAAACTCAGATCCAACATCTTTAATTTGTTTAACTTCTGCACTCCATTAAAGCCTGCAAAAATCAATCAAGAAACTTGCATACTCATCTGTAAAAATCTGAGTTTTTTCAAGCTAAAACACAAGGAAAAGATAACAAAGCATCAAGACGTTAGAACAGTTGTCAAGGATGATCTTTCACGGATGCAGATATATTACGTCCTTGGAAGTTAGCGTCAATTCTCAACTTTCAGCTGTGCTATACGTATCCGAACCAACGGTCGAACTGTTATAACACAGGAACTAAAATAAATTGAGTTGTTTCCAGATTGTAGACTCTAGACATTTACAACTATTCCAAATTCAAGTTGTCTTTTATACCCCACTAAGCTTTATCCTTAAACCTCAAAATTAGCTTTGCTTCCTTTTTTGTTTGAAATCCCAAAAACAGCCTCTTAAAATGTGAAAAAAAGAGAGAAAAATAAGCTTATTTATCATCAACTTGTTAATCACTCAATGTCCTACAACAATTCTTGTGGGAAAGTAAGCCTACATTTTTCATTGGTAGTTTATCTTAGACTTAAGAGTTCCAGTTGTTGTTAATACTTAGCATATCCAAAGAAAAAACGCTAGTTACTGTTAGAAAGAAAAAAACAAAAAGAATCTCCCTTGTTCCATGTTGAATATCATATCTACCGTTTAAGGAAATATCATATTCTTTTTCGTTCAGTGCCTTTCTGCATTATATTGCTATCCTCCCTAGACCCCACTGGTGGGATTTTACTGGGTCGTTGTTGCTGTTGTTGTTGTTGTTGTACCATCACTATCTAGTAGGAGGTAAGTTATAGTGATATTCACATATGCATTTCCAGCAAACATCTTAAGACCTATGCCAAATGAAATAACATTCGGTAACAAAAGTACAGAACAAATATCCAGCAAACCAGCATCAGAAAACCAATCCAGCATGATACCAGAAAATTTTTCGGTTTCGTTATTCAAAGATGATATGTAACAAAAGCATGGACATTTTTAACTATCTCGCAATCACACCAGATAGGGTAGGTATCATATTATACTTCCTCTTTCCATTTATGTGACAATATTACTATTTGGGAAGTAAAAGAGGTTCCTTTTATTTTTTTAGTGACGTGGTGTCCGAGCTAGATTACGCTCTCCTCAACTATTCCACCGGACACCTGCTACCTCCCACCAGCACAGCACATGTATCAGGTAAAGAGATTCTTTTATCACAATTTTTTTTTTAAATTCTTTTATTTTCCTTTATGGGACATCTGGTTAACTAATCCTAAAAGTAAACGCAAAACTTCAAGTATTTTAAATTATTAAATACTGAGGATAGTCTTTTTCCAATAGGCTAGCTGCCCTCGAGTTCCCAGGCCCGCTTTTCTCTGCCCGCAACCCAATAAGCTGGCAAAGCCAACGCAAGATTAGGGTCGTCCCCTTCATTCTATACTGACCCCGATCTAGGGGCTAACTTCTTGGGAAGCCCGTTCCCACCACGCTCACGGCCCAGCTGGCCTTGCAACGGTAGTGACAGTTCTCTTGTTCCCTGGTCAAAGACTTGGTTGGATGCGGATAGACCTTGAGCCTAACTCAACCCTAACAGATATGGGATCTAACACACTGTTAAGAAAATGCTCATCAGGTAAAAATTGCCCAAGACCATACAAGTCCACCTATTTTTAAATCACCCGAACCCATTCGCCGAAAAATTACACTATACATATAAGGTAAAGTCCTTCGGAAACAGCCTCTCTACCTTCATTAGGTAGGGGCAGGGGCGGATTTAGGGGGCGCGGAAGAGGGTTTACCCGAACCCCCTTCGCCGAAAAATTACTATAAGGCAAAATCTATTTTTTACCTCTATATATTAAGTTTTGAATCCCTTGACACAGCCCAAAAGTGTAGCTTAGTGGTCAAGGAGTTCAAAATCTTTGCAAGGTCATAGGTTCAATTCCCACTAGCTATAATGTTTTTTAACTTTTTCCTTTTAGGGGGGTTTTTTGTTGTTATTGTATATAAGGTAAAATCCCTTTCGTCTCTCTATATATTATAATTTGAATTCGCTTGACATAGTCCAAAAGCATAGCCCAGTCATTACGAAGATTCAAAACCTTTTTGAGGTTGCTGCTTCAATTCTGACTGGTCATAGTCTCTTTTAATTGTTTAACTTTTTTCCTTTTTTAAACCCCTTAGCACGAAATCCTGTATCCGCCACTGTTTAAATCCCCAAGCAATATGGGATCTAACACACACAAGAGAGAGAGAAAGGAAGAAAGAATTGACCTGTAATTCCATTAGAATCCAATCTTAACTCCTGCAGCTCCTCAAAGGGAAGAAATAGAGAGGTTTCCAATGAGAAATCAACAATTCTCCGCAGCTCTAATGGTCTTGTGCGGTTAAGAAAAAGTTTAGTCACCCTCTTTGTTGATTCACTGCATGAAACTTTTTCCCATTTACAACAATCTTTTTCTTCTTTATCACCCCAAGAAGAAAGAGCTGTCCCATTTGGATAGTTGAATGAATCTTTCAGTTTTAATAGAGCAATTCTTTCACCCTCCCAGCAACCTAAGCTTCCATTAGCCAAATGGAGCAGAACCCACAACCTTAAAATCCCAAAAAACATACCTAATGATTAGTTCTAACTGTTTAACGAGGTTTTTGTATTTTCTTTTAGACCCCATTATCATAAGTAGAAGTTAAAGATAATGGCTTTGGGATTTGAGGTGAACTGAGAATAGATGAACTTTCTTCGAATTTCTGGTCATGCGAATTGGAAAAGTTTGGTTTGAACTGTTTATTTTTACTTTTCAAAACAAGAAGTCGTTTTGTTGACTCCTCTCTCTTTCATTCTTTCATTTCACCCGAAATGGCTTCCTAGCCACTTAAACTTGTAGCGTTTTTGAAGGCCGATACAGGAACTTTATATTTTCTCATTTGAATATTCGAACTTGAGAAAATATCTACTAATAAATACCTTTAACCGTTGACTATGCTTAGGTGGCAATATTATAGCTGATGTGGCCAATTGCTTGTTAATTACCGGTATTAAGCGCGTGAATATGATAAATAATTAAAAAAAAGATAAATAATTAATTTTAAAAAATAGAAAATTCATCGGGCCAGATTTAGAGAAAAGCCACTTCAATTCATCGGGTCTGACTATTCTTCAATTTTTAACCATTCAATCTTGCAATTCCAAGCCGTAGAGATTGTTCTCTACACCAAGAACTACCTCTCCACCAAAAATCAGGAGATTTCATTGTAGGAATCATCACTTCTAATGACCTGCAACTCTCCGGCGGGCTCCAGTTGGTCGAAGATGGCATTCCAGTGGTCCATATCGCCCAAGAGCAATGCCAATCGATTCCTGCCACTAAGGAGGTCACGCCAATTGGCCACTACAATGAATTAATTGTCACAACTTTAAAGAAAACCAATTCTGCGTCAGTACTGATCGGAGAGAGGATAGGACGAAGAAGAACCTAGGAAGGAAGTGTCGATATGGAAGTAGACGGATGAGTTGCAGGTGTGGGGGGAGGGGGGATGATGGGAAGGAACGGGGAAGAGAAAGCTGGAAGGGTTTAAGTTTTTTCTTTCTTATTGTATTTATTTTTATTTTTAAAATATAAATATAGGTGACAATTTTTATTTAAAAATTACACATGTCATTTGTGGGTGGGGTCTTACTTTTGGATTGGTCATTTGCTGATCGGATGGACACGTCTGTGTGTGTGTAATACACGCGCATAGGCTCAAGGGTCAGATGTGTTTATTAGTTAAGGGAATCATGAGTTCGAGTGTTCAAATGGAAAAATCCAAAGTTCGTGTATCGACTTTCAAAAGCCGTACAAATTTAAGCGGCCAGGAAGCCATTTCACCTACATTTTATATATGGCAGAGTTTTGACTTAGCAAGAAGCGAAAGAAAACGAGGCGTACCACAGTGAAAGGACTTTTTAAGTTTTATATGGTTAATGATTGGGCCGAATTTACAATTTAATTTTTGAGAAAATCTCACTTTATACCCATTAATTCCAAACTTTTTACCCTTTAATGCCCAGACCCAAACTATCTACTACTCCTACCCATGCTCCCCAAACTATTTACCCGCCTTTCTTCTTCTTCTTCTTCCTCATTTTACCTTCCTCACTTTATACCCATCGGCTTTTTTCCTATATAAAAAATAATCTGGTAACAAGTTTGTACATCATACATAGAAAATGAATATGGAAAGGTAAAGTTACTGCATATAACTGTCCATTTCAGCATCTCAGGGCAACCAAATTTTCGACTGGGCAATAAGCAGATTAGGAATTGCAGCCACTGTAGCTAAGGCCTCAGCTTTCATGCATGAAGGCCTCCAGAATGATGATATTCCTCACGGAAACTTGAAATCCACCAATATGTGTATTTGAATATCCACCATTGTTGGGCTTGAAGCTCAATTTTATTTTTGAAGATTTCTTGTTTGATTCAAAGTGGGTGCTGTTAAATATTGCTTATAGTACCTTCTGGAAGTTCATACTGAAATTTGATAGCATTTGGAGCTGATTTGAGGTGATTGAGATCGAAATTTTCAGTTGAAAATCGAAGAAGAATACAGCTACAGTATACCGCTACGGTATACAATATGCTGTAGGAGTATATAGCTATACTGCAACAGTATACTATTATAGTTGACAATATACTGCAACGGTATATTGTAACAATCGAAGAAGAACACAGTTACCTAACAGTATACCGCTACAGTATACAATATACTATAGGAGTATATAGTTATACTGCAACAGTATACTATTATAGTATATAATATATTGTTATAGTATACTGTAATAATATGCAATATACTGTAACAATATGTTGTAATAGTATACAATATACTATAATAGTATACTTATTACCCGTAAATTCACTTGTCTTTTCTCTTTTAATTTGCTTTAAGCTTTTACTCAGCGTGAGAGGCAAATTGAAAATGCAAAAAAATATTATAGTATGTTATATAATGTAACGGTATACTCTTACAATTAGATCCTTTTAGAATTTTTTGAAATTTTTATTGACAACTGATATTATTTCACTCTAATAATTAAATTAAACTTTTTTTAACTCTTTGCGTACAATTGTATACCCTGATGGTATAACTATATACTATACTAGTATCAAATGTTAGTTAATATTTTTTTGATTGTATTAGCTACATTTAATTGGTACACAATTTGATTTTTCTTT